CTGCTCACTCTTCTTTCCAGCTCTAAACTTCCCTCTTAAAAGCCCCTATCAGGGGCTGTTGCTTGAAATTGGCTGTACTTAAAACAGTCCTCTCCAGTGATCACATTTATAAACCATTCTGAATACAATGGCCTAAGCCAAATCTTAATGTATCCCAAAATGCTCCTGATGGTGACAGGTCTACTCATTCATGTGCTGGGAAGGATTTGAGAAGAAAAAACCTGCTCTTTGCCTCCAGGACCTAACCAAGAGCAGTGGATGTGTCAACAGAACTGCACTCGGCAGGATGAAGATGGGGACTCCAGCATGTGGCTGTTTAGCATGTGCGGTTTCCACTCTTCAAGAGGGATCCCTATGGTCCACGACAGGCAACGTGAGCCACAATGCAAGGCCAGTGTGGGAGAGCATCCACAGATCCACAGATGAGCCCAGGTGACAGTGACTGTCTAGGAGGATGCCCTTGGGGTTTTGATGGGATGATTATTGTGTGGTCTGTCTTGTGCATTGCATTCTTGACCTTCACTAGTAGCCCACAGCATCCCCCAGTCACTGTGACAACCAGCAGTGCCCACACATTTCCCTGGGGACGGGAGGCTAGTTTTCACTGCTGCCCGGGGGATCCAGCTGCCAGGATCCACTGCAAGTCAGCGGCTTGAGCCAGCTGAGAATTCTCTGTCCTGGCCACTTGAGCATTCATTCTGGTGAGGAGGTGGTGATGGGGGAAAAAGGGGAGAAGCAGAGGGTGAGCACAGGTCCTGGCTGCAGACCCACAGCCAACTGGAGGGGGCATGTGCTGTTTTTAGCTGCCCAGTGTCCATTCCCAACCCTTTTGGTAACAGGTTACCCACACTGCAGTTGGAGAATCATTTTCTTCCCTGCTCCGTGCTCACGGTTTCTGTGGATTTTATCCTCATGTTCCAAAGGAGGCTGTGCAGCTCCAACCTGGCCAACCAGCCCCCTGCATTTTCCTGGGCACAGTGATGGCTACCAGGAGGGACACAGGACCTAGTCAGAGCTGTGATGCCTTTTGCTGCGGGGAGACGGGCCGGCTCACCCTCTCTGCTACACTTGACCTCTGTAGGCTGGGAGCTGTTGCTGCTGCAGCTAGAATGGAACTAACTCTGCTACAGAGAGGGAAACGGCCCGTGCCCCTGGAGCAAACCACATCTGAACCAGAACTCTCTCCTGACTTTTATAGGAGCTAATACATTCTCATTTTGCTTAAGCCTAGTTTGGGTTAGGTTGTCCAACATTTACAATAAAGGGGGACCTCAATACGCCAGAAAAAGGAAGTGTCTTCAGTCCAGAAGCTGCAGCCATGGAGTACCCAGTCCCTTCCACCATGTCTATAGGTCCTTTCATTGTCCCTGCAGGACAGGACCACAACATGACCCCACGCAACTCCCACACCTGTTTCACAAAGGAAATCCTGGGACTGGGGGGTGGAGAATGGGCTCCAGCCTGGCCCATCCTGCCCAATCACACCAGTGCTGTTGCGGGTAAACCAGCTCCTCGCCTCCCCAATGGCTGCCCTGCTGGGTCCCAGTCTAACTCATTCTTAGAGGCATAGCAGGTCACCTGGGCATGGGTCTGTGGATGCCTCACAGGCATTCAGCATTGTCCTCCCTCCACCCCTACACCATATGCCACTGTCACCGCTGTCAGCTGTCACTGTTCCAGTGCATGTGGGCTGACCCCCACCTCGCATCTGCATTTCTTTGCCTGGGGGCTTCCTCTCCAGAGTGGGACAAAAGTGTGGAGGAATTAACCACCTCCCTCCTCACAGCCTTTCTCCAAGACCAACAGGTTACAAATACCTCAGCTCCCTGTCAGGTGGGATGACTACGCTGTGTGGTGTGTGTTCTGCCTTCTCCCATCCCATGATGCCCCAGCAGGATCAGGCTTCAGCTGCCCTCAATGGCCACTGCATTAGGACTCACCAGTACTGGCTGTCCTCCCTTCTCTGGTGGTTCCTTTTTATTTTGTTTGTGACAGGGTCTTGCTATGTCGTCCAGGCTGGAGTGCAGAGGCGCAATCATAGCTCACTGCAGCCTTGACCTCCTGGGCTTAAGCCATCCTCCCGCCTTGGCCTCCCAAAGTCTTGGGATTATAGGCATGAGCCACCAAGCCCAGTCTCCTTCCCTCGTTTACACTCCTCTCCCCTACTGGTGTTTGCTGGGATCACCTTGAACTAAGATTTCGAATCGGCTGTTCGGGAGCTGGAGGTAAAATCCCACTGGGCACTGGCTGGGTGTAGCCACATCACCAGCACTAACCACAAGGCTGCATGGCAGGCCACTCCCCATCACAGGTGACCCTAAAAGAACCTATTTCTACAGATGGTGTTCCTGGGCACAGGGCCTCTGTCCTCTGGGGTGCAGGCCTGGAGGCGAACCGGTACATTTCTCCTATTCCCACTAACTGGGATTACCCTGGGACACAGGTGCAGATGACTAATTACGTTAACTATTGAGTTAAGCTTTATAATCCCTTCCTTTAGAGTGAGAACATCTAAAGCAAACACTGTGTTCTGTGAGTGTGTGCAGAGAAAGCTGCTCCACCAGGGGTCTGTGGCTCTGACAGGAATGACAGGCACCAATTCTGCTTGACCTGCGGCTCAAAACGTCACTGGGGTCCCCACACCTCCCTTTCTAGCCATTTGCCAAGTCCAACTTTTATGTCTCTAAAGTAAAACATGCTAAAGAAACAGAATTCTTTTTTTTTTCTTTTTTAAAATTTTAGTGACAAGACAGGTCCTTTGATGGAAACTGGATCTGTAAGAAAAACAAGGACAGACCAATCAGCTTAGACAATACCCCATGTGACCCGGAATCCTGTGGCTTTCCAGTTTCACAGCCTCACAGGTGAGGGTTCAGCAACTGTGATCCTTCTGTGGAGAAATAAATTATTTAGGATTCAAATTTCTTCCATTCCTTGCATTCACTCTTTCTTTCCGCCACACACCTCAGGCTGTAACGCCTTTTGCCAGGCGCCTGGCCAGGCTTGGCTCCTGCTCATCTCATTGGTGCCAGCGCCTTCCCCGGGTCCTCTGCAGCTATGATGGAGTCTCACCCCCCAAAAGCTACACTGCAGTGGTTTGACCACATTCAATGCCCAAAATGGCTGGGAAAGAAGTCCTTTGCTTTCAGGGCCTTATCCTCAGCTGAGGAAGATGCCAAGGGAGAGGTTCACCAAACTTTAGGAAAGAACATTCTAGAAGCATCTTTCCCCAAAGAGGAAAGACACCACTGTCGTCAGATGGTTCTTCGCTCCCTGGACAGTGAAGGATGTCAAACTGCCTGTTAATTAAGAGCTGAGCCTACAAGCTCAGCACGACTTAATGTACCCCCACGATGCACTCCCATCGCCCTCCCTCACCGTGACTCTCATACAGGTGCCCAGGAGGCTTTCATTGGCTAAAGTTCTTCCCTGGGCAGTTAAAAAGTAAGCTAATATTCTTTTTTTTTTTTTGAGACGGAATTTCGCTCTTGTTGCCCAGGCTGGAGTGCAATGGTACAATCTCAGCTCACTGCAACCGCCGCCTCCTGGGTTCAAGCGATTCTCCTGTCTCAGCCTTCCCAGTAGTTGGGATTACAGGCATGCACCACCATGCCCTGCTAATTTTGCATTTTTAGTGAGACAGAGTTTCTTCATGTTGGTCAGGCTGGTCTTGAACTCCTGACCTCAGGTGATCCACCCACCTCGGCCTCCCAAAGTCCTGGGATTACAGGTGTGAACCACTGTGCCTGGCCTATTTTTTAAAATTTTTTGAGACAGGGTCTTGCTCTTTTGCCCAGGCTAGAGTGCAGTGGTGTGATTTCGGCTCACTGCAAGCTCGGCTTCCTGGGTTCATGCCATTCTCCTGCCTCAGCCTCCTGAGTAGCTGTGACTACAGGTGCCCGCCACCACGCCCAGCTAATTTTTTTGTATTTTTAGTAGAGACAGGGTTTCACCATGTTAGCCAGGATGGTATTGATCTCCTGACCTCGTGATCCGCCCGCCTCGGCCTCCCAAAGTGCTGGGATTACAAGCGTGAGCCACCGCACCCGGCCTTTTTTTTTCTTTCTTTCTTGAGACAGGGTCTCAAGAGTTCTGTCACCCAGACTGGAGTGCATTGGTGCAATTATGGCACATTGCAACCTCCAACTGCTGAGCTCATGCAATCCTTCCACCTCAGCCTCCCAAATAGCTGGGATTACAGGCGTGTGCCACCATGCCTAGATAACTTTTTAATCTTTTTTCTTCTTCTCACTCTTTTTTTTTTTTTTTTTTTTTGTAGAGACAAGGTCTTGGTATGTTACCCAGGCTGGTCTCAAACTCCCAGGCTCAAGTTATCCTCCTGCCTGGGCCTCCCAAAGGTCTAGGATTACAGGTTTGAGCCACTATTCCCAGTCAAAAAGTAAGCAAATTTAAAGAAAAATATTAAGTGATTTTACAGGTATCAAAAGTCACTGATTTAACAAATAGTTATGATGATAATGATGATGATAATGGTGATGATGGCAACTACCTCCAAGGATGATGGTTTAAAGATTGAGGGGATGTGCAGAATTGCCAGGTGCAGGGCCTGGTGATAGAGGTGGGTGGTGGTGATGATGGTGGTGGTGATGATGATGGTGATGACGGTGATAATGATGATGATGGTGATGGGGGTGGTGATGATGGTGATGATGATGATGGTGATGGTGATGATGATGGTGATGGTGATGTGATGATGGTGATGATGGTGGTGGTGATGATGGTGGTGATGATGATGGTGATGGTGATGATGGTGGTGATGATGATGATGGTGATGGTGATGGTGGTGGTGGTGATAATGGTGGTGGCAGTGATGATGGTGATGGTTATGATGGTGATAGTGGTGGTAGTGATGATGATGGTGATGGTGGTGGTGGTGATGAAGATGATGGTGATGATGGTGATGATGATGATGGTGATGGTGGTGGTAGTGATGATGATGGTGATGATGGTGATGGTGGTGATGATGATGGTGATGATGATGGTGGTGATGATAATGATGGTAATGATGATGGTGATGGTGATGATGATGATAATGATGGTGGTGGTGATGATGGTGATGGTGATGATGATGGTGATGGTAATGATGGTGATGGTGGTGATGATGATGGTGATGGTGGTGATGATGGTGATGGTGATGGTGGTAATGATGGTGATGATGGTGATGGTGATTATGAAGGTGATGGTGATGATGATGATGTTGATGGTGGTGGTGATGATCGTGGTAATGCAGATGATGGAGATGATGATGGTGATGATGGTGGCAGTGATGAAGATGATGGTGACGATGATGGTGATGATGGTGATGGTGATGGTGGTGGTGATGATGGTGGTGATGATGATTGTGATGGTGGTAGTGATGATGATGATTGATGATGATGGTGGTGGTGATGGTGGTGATGGTGATGATGATGGTGGTAATGATGGTGATGATGGTGATGGTGATGACAGTGGTGATGGTGATGATTATGGTGATGATGGTGATGGTGATGATAGTGAAGGTGGTGGTGGCGATGATGATGGTGATGATGATGGTGATGGTGATGATGATGATGGTGATGATGGTGGTGGTGTTGATGATGATGGTGATGGTAGTGGTGATGATTGTGATGATGATGGTGATGATGATGGTGGTGGTGGTGATGATTGTGATGATGATGGTGATGATGGTGGTGGTGGTGATGATGGTGATGATGGTGGTGGTGTTGATGATGATGGTGATGGTAGTGGTGATGATTGTGATGATGATGGTGATGATGATGGTGGTGGTGGTGATGATTGTGATGATGATGGTGATGATGGTGGTGGTGGTGATGATGGTGATGGTGATGATGATGATGGTGATGATGGTGATGATGGTGGTGATGATCATGGTAATGCGGATGATTCTGATGATGATGGTGATGATGGTGATGGTGATGAGGATGATGGTGATGATGATGGTGATAATGGTGATGATGGTGGTGGTGATGATGGTGATGGTGATGACAATGGTGATGACGGGGTGGCGATGATGATGGTAATGATGATGATGGTGATGGTGATGATGATAGTGGTAATGATGGTGATGATGGTGATGATGGTGACGGTGATGATGGTGGTGATGATGATGGTGGTGGTGATGCTGGTGATGGTGATGATGATGGTGATGGTGATGATGGTGGTGATGATGGTGATGGTGATGGTGGTGGTGATGATGGTGATGATGATGATGGTAGTGATGGTGGTGATGATGGTGATGGTGATGATGATGGTGGTAATGATGGTGATGATGGTGATGGTGATGATGATGATGGTGATGATGGTGGTGATGATTGTGATGATGATGATGGTGATGACGGTGATGATGGTGGTGGTGATGATCATGGTAAGGCAGATGATGGTGATGATGATGGTGATGATGGTGGTGGTGATGATGATGGTGATGGTGATGAGGATGATGGTGATAATTGTGATGGTGCTGATGGTGGTGGTATTGCTGGTGATGTAGCTTTCTTGAGTGCTTATCCTGTGCCAGGAACTGTGCTAAGTATTTTACATGCATTTTTTCCACTCAATCTCCCCGACAATCCAATGAGAGCTGTGCTATTATTATCTCCATTTAACGAAAAGAAAATGAGACATCAGGAGTTAGGGTACTTGCCCCAGGCCTCAGAAATACTGGGTTTTGAAGAGGCCTCTGACCTCAAGCCTGCCTGCCTCCAGAACTCCAGCTCACAACCATTAGGTTCTGCTGCAAGGAATTTTGAAGAGAAAATGCTTTAACTCGGGTGCATTCGTCACATTGTCAATGGCCAGCATCCATCCACCCCTGTCACCAGGTCCTGTGCCTGGCACTTCTGCATATCCCCTCAGTTAATCCTCAAAACCATTGCCCATGGAGGTAGTTATTATTCTCCCCACTAGACATGACACTGTCAGAGAAATTAAGAAACATGTCCCTAAAACCCAGCTATCAGGCAGCAGAGTCAAGAAACGAGCCGGCAGCTCTAACTCCAAAGCTGGCATCCTTCCCACCACGTCCATGTTGACAACAGCAACAGGACCCCCCCAGCAATGAACTCTGTCCTCTAACACCTTATCTCACCTCTCCCAACAGGCTCAAGAGGAAGGTACTGTAATTTTCCCTATTTACAGATGAGGAAACTGAGGTTCTTGCCACTCAGGAAATGCCTCAGGAAATAGCATAGCAGCTAAGGAACTACTATGTCCTCTGCCACAGACATGGGACATGGCATCACAGAGCACATGAAGGGATGGTAAGCTGTCCCTGGAGTTTACCTTCTGGGTTTGGCTTTTGAGATATTCTGAACATCTTCTCCCAGTCCCATCACCTATCAACTCTTGGGGCTAGTGGAGGTCTGGAAGTAGGGTGAAATGCTTCTCATTACCCCCATGCTATCATCCCCATTGTCACTTATTAAGCATTTGCTAAGTGTGGACGTGGCAAGGGGATCATTGTGGAAGTTGTTGGCGCCCCCCCAGACCCTCACACCTCAAACCCAATGTCTTCTTCAAGCCTCACAATAACCCTACAAGGTAGGTTCTATCATTTCACTCCATTGAGAGAGAGGAACCTTGGGAAATAATATATTACGCCCACTGCAAAGGCAAGGAAAACCGATGATTATCCCCTTTCTGGGGCTGGTGCATCCACTGCTCAACTCCTTCGAGTTGTGAGTGTGCTGCTAACAGCTCAGAGCTGCCCCTCCTCTAGGGAAGTGCCCTCAGCCCAAAGGGAGCTGCTCTTTCCACAAAGACATGCAGTCCCTACCCAACCCTTAGAGCCAAGCACTGACAAGGAGGAGCACCAGAGGGCAAGCTTCTCCCCTCTGCTGAGACTGTGTTGTAATTCTTGTTCCAGGGCTCCCACAGGGTCAAGCTGAGGTCTGGCCTCCTCCTTCTCAGCTCCTTCCCTTGCCTCCTCTTGCCTCCCTCCCTCCCTCACTCCCTGAGAGCACCTCCTCAATAAACCCTGTCCATCCAACCCCAGTCTCAGGCTCTGCTTCCAGGGGCGAGGGAAGATGGCTGTGTGAGCCATGCCCCTTGCCCTCAGGGATCTTGAAGGACAGCTGGGAGACAGGCCACAGGCAAACAACAGCATCATCCACAACACAGGAGGCACAGGTGGAGAGGACAGGGGTTGAGAAGATGGAAGACATCATTGAAGTTGGGAAGATGGAGGAAGGTTTCATGGAAGAAGGGGGCTTTATGGGTGATGGACCAGTAGGACTGGGTAGGAGACAAGCTTTCAAGGCAGGGAGAAAGGTCCGAGATGGGTAGGAACCTTTGCCCCCATCCCTCCTATTTCCTCTCGTCCAGGGTCCGTGACCAGGGAAACCATCCTAGGGCAGCGGAGGTGGGGGCTCTGTTCAGATGATTATAATAATGAGTCTAGCATCTGAGAGCATCAGGTCTTCCCTAGAGGGCCATGCTGGCTGACTCTGAGGCCAGGAGGGGGTCACTCCACTGTCAAGCTTCTCTTAAGAGGCCGGGGCTTGCTCCACCTGAAAAGACCACCTCCATTCGAAGGGACAGAACGCTCCACATACCTGCCGGACCGTGGGCCTAGGGGCTTGTTCACAAGGATTCAGTGATGTAGTAGGCAGCTCCTAGAGCCCCCAGAGCCACAGCCACAGTTCCGAGGGCTTGGAGGACACGTGTTACGATGACTGGAGGGTTTTCTTGAAGGTTTTCTGTAGAACAAAGCAAAAGTGAGGGTGGTGGGAAGCTGGGCTTCGGTGCCTCTCTACGAGCAGGAGAAAGTGGAAATTAAGTGGCCCTCTCAGGATTGCAGGAATACCCATCTTCCTCCTCTCCAAACTCCTTTTAAGAGAACATTTAATTCTTCCCACCCTTCCAAAAAGTCCCTGCCGAAAGACCCCTGAGGATCGGAGGGTGAGCTGGCCTGGGATGCCAGCTGCCCTGAACACTCAGAGGGGGACCAGGTTAGGAAGGTGGTCAAGTCTGCTGTGAGCCAGGCCTTGTGCTAAACACCTCACACCCAGTGTCTTCTTCAAGCCTCACAACAATCCTATGAGGTAGGTTCTATCACTTGACTCCATTGAGAGAAAGGAACCTTGGGAAATAATATATTACACCCACACAAAGGCAAGGAAAACAGATGATTAAGGCAATAATTGTGAGGAGGGCATTCAAAAAATGCAATACCCATTTTGATAAAAATCCTACAAAAATAAGGATTCTTGTTTAATGTGAATGTGGATTGAAAGCCAAAAGCCAACATTACACTCTGTTGAGAAAAGCATGCGGGTACTAAAATTGGAACAGCATTAGAACTGTATGTCTTGTCCTGACCAGACACGGTCCCTGTCCCTCCCTGCTCTCTTTCCTGATTCTGAGCCTTGTGTTTGCCTTTTCCTGCACCTAGATTGCTCCCGCTTTTCATCTTAAGCCAGAGAGGGCTTCAAGATCCTTTTGGACTCGGCTCACATGCTGCTGACAGGAACCTTTCAGAGGTTCCTGTTGGAGCCTGTTCCTGTTGGAATCTTTCAGAGGTTCCTGTTGGAGCCTCTCCCAGAGGACACACGGCTCTTTGCATCTTGCATCTTGGTTTCTAAATGCACGGGTCTTAGCTCTCCATGCAGACTGCAACGATTTTAGGGGTAAAGTTCCCTGTTCTGGTTTCCCTCACAGTCCCCCATGTCTTCTGCATAGTAAGTTTCGCTCAATAACACTTGCTGGTTTTAAAACGATAAGAACCCATGGCACAATTTGGCCATGGATGGATGGAAGTACTAAGTGTATGGGCGGGGTGTGGCTAACGGTGGCAGGTAGGCCTTTCCTTGACGGGGCTTACTGGGTGGCAGAGTATTTCTGGCTCCAAGCATGTTTTCCCCACACGCCCCGGTATCTATTTGCTTCTCTCCATATGTAGGAGAGATGGAGTTTTTCAGCTCCAGAAAGGAGAGGGGATTGGGTAGGGAAGAGGATGGGAAGTGGAACAGGATGAGGATAGGGGTTGGGGGGGCTCAGCTCCTGGGGTGGGGGTATGAAGTCGCCAAGTGGAAGGGCCTCTATCATTGAGATCTGTGAGGCCCTCAGGTGGCACAGATGACAACCCCTATCCCAGCCCATGCATGTAACCTAGCAGCGCCAAAGACGGGAACATCTCCAGTCTGTTCCCGGCAGGGATAGGGTCTTCCTATGAGGGCAGTGGCAGCCATGACACTGCTCCTGGTGGCTTTGTGGGAAGAGGAAGGAAGGATAGATACTATGGGTGATGTCATGGGGGCTGCCACCAGCAGACCAGCCTGGGGGCACACGTCGCCTATGGGGACCCCCAGAAAGAGCTCAGCACACTCTGAAGGGGGCTGAGGTCTTGCTATTGTGTGGAGGAGGCATATGAGTTACAAGTAGTTTTTTATCATTAAATTCTAGGTGACATTCATAGGCAGATCAGGAACCGAAGGCCCCAGCCTAAGACACAGGCCACTGAGGGGCCACGGAGGTGGACGGCCAAACAGCATTTAAACACAAAGGCCCTGAGCGACTCGGAATCTCTGAAGGGCTGAGAGGGACAGTGTTCTGAGGAGGGGAGGGCATCTCTGGAGAAAATAAAAAGGAAGCCACTGAGAAGGCAAATCCCAGTGAGGAAGAAAACTGGCACCTCTCTGTACGGGTGGAGAGGGTACCCAGTGGGTAGGGCTGGTCAGAAAGGGCCCTGCCTGCCAACGTCCAGGAAGTGGCCAAAGGAAAGAGGAAAAGGCTTTCCTTTGGCCTGGGATTCCCAAGAGGAATGATACATGATTGCTAATAAGGTCTGGGGGCAGAGCCTGGCCCTGGGAACTGTGTGCCCTGAGGTTCCAGCCCCTCACGCTTGGAACCTGTAGAAGGTGAGCAGGTTGGGGAGTCCTCTCCCTGGCGCCATCTGCCAGTCCCGAGGCAGAAGGACATCGAAGATGCGGCTATGGCACAGCCCCAGACGACGCCAGCAAGCAGAGCTGCAGGGGCAAGTGGCACAGGAGCAGGAATGTGGGCCGGCGCGAGTCAGAGGCCCTGTGGGGACAGAAGGAAAGAGGTGAGGGAGGTACCTGCTCTGGGAGGTGGGGGCAGGGGAGCCTGGAACACAGTCTGAGAAGGCCCCCCAAAACAGTAGCAGCTGCAGGATTACCAGGGCAGATCCTGGATTTTTTTCCAGGCATCATTGAGGATTTGGGAATGAACTACCCAAGGAAGGCAGTTCTCCCACAAAATGTTCTCTAACCAAACAGAAGTGAAGACTGACTGCATGAGAAAATGGCTGGTTTATACTGGTGCTACCTGGGAGTAGCAACAACAACGATGATGATGATGGAGGTGGTGCTGATGGTGTCATGGCTTACGCCTTCAGGATGCTTTGGACTTAGCGTGCCCATCTCATTTAATTTCACAGTAATCCTGTAAAGGGGATACTGTTGCTCTTGTTTTACAAATAAGGAAACTGAGGCTCAGATAATTTAAGGGATATGCCCTTCTGGGGAGTAGATTGCAGAAGTTGGCTTTCTCAACTCAGGCTTTCTCATGTTTAATTCAGTGAAAATGGAATTTCAGGTGACTGCCCACCCCAGGAGAGGCTGCACTGGGATTCCTGGAATTGGAGCTGCCACGTTCCATTGATCTAGAGCATAGTGATCCATCCGGAAGACAACCACAGCTCCAGTTTCCAGTCCCGATCTTATCTTCTGTTTCTGTCCTCCTCTGGTATGGATCCCAGCAGAATGTAGATGATACCCTCTGTGGTCGGGCAAGATAATTTCTGGCTGGATTATTCCCTCCTGTTTCCTATCTGTAGCCCTGTGGCTTCTTGACAGAGCCACAGATTCTTCTGACCCTAAGCTGCGTGAAACGGAGAGTCAACCTGGCAGACTCGGTACACTTTCTGCTTAGACTTGCCCATGACACATACTTTCCCGGAATGAGGAGAAGGGATTCTAAAGGCAAGACTTGTCTCTTTTTTTAGTTACAGAAAAGTTTTTAAATTGAGACATCATTCCCAGGCAATAAAGTTCACCCTTTTAGAGCGCTCAGTGGTTTTTAGTATATTCACAAAGTTTTGTGGCCATCACCACTAATTTCAGAACATCTTCATTTCCCCAAAAAGAAACCCTATCTCCATGAGCAGTTACCCCCCATTCTCCAGTTCCCCCAGTTCTTGGCAATACATTTGCTTATTCTGAACATTTCATGTAAATAGAATCATTCGATGTGTGGGTTTTTGGGAGACTGGACTCTTTCACTTAGCCAAATGTCTATAAGGTTCATCCATGTTGTCCCATGTATCAGGACGTCATCTCTTTTTATTGTCAAATAGTATTTCACCATATTCATTGTACTGTGGTATTTCATACCGCGTTTTGTTTATCCATTCATCAGCTGATGGACATTTGGGTTGTTCCCACTTTTTGGCTATTACAAATGCTGCTGCTTTGAGCATTTGTGTACAAGTTTTGGTGTGCTTCTAATATGCTTAATAATATGCTTCGAATTCTCCTGGATATATGCCAAGAAGTGGGATTGCTGGGTCATAAGGTAACTTCATGTTCCTCTGAGGAACCACTAGACTGTTTCCACAGCAGCTGCACCATTTTACATTCCCACCTACAGTGTATGAGGATTCCAGCTTCTCTACATCCTCACCAACACTTGTTATTGTCCATCCTTCTGATTATACCCATCCTAGTGGAAGACTGGCATTTTCTTGAGCTACAATATTTCTGTACACAAAAAGGCTTGGATTTTAGAAAATGGCATGCTTTACACGCAGGCCCTTATCCTGCATCTCCAATATTCCTTTCTACTGAAGAGAATTCCTTTGGAAGAAGTATAGGGTGTCCGCTGTAACCACTGGTGAGCCACCACCGTTTCTTGCTTTCTTGCTTTGCCTCTTCAATGGGCCAAATTCCTCTCGGAGTGTGAGTCACATGTGATCATTAAAAGACTTGGGAATGGAAAGTTTTGCTTTCTACTAGTTCTGAAGACCATAACCCGGAAATGTTTCTCTCAGTGGCTGATGATCACAGTCTTTACAACATACAGTATGGCGCTCAAAATCATTATCATATGTCAAGAAGGGATTGATTCCTGGCCATGGAAGGATCATTGGCGTGGCATGCCTTGCAGTTAGCACTCTCATCTCCATCTCTTCTTTCTTTTATGCTCACACAATCCCGGGGGGTAAACTGTGGCCCAGGGAGTGTGGCCTGTTCGAGGCTGTGGAGCCATGGGCACTGGCTCACAGCAGATCCAGGAGCTGCTCGGACAAAGATGTTCTTCCTCTTGTGGAGACTCCTAGGCCTCTTGGAATGGAAAGGTCAGTACTGTGGTTTAGAGTGAGGGTTCTGGAGTCAGAATAGAGCGGGTTTCCCTTCTCAGGGCTACCAGCCTCTGCTCAGGAGCAACTTGTTTGACTCCTATGAGCCTCAGTTTCCCCATCTATAAAATGGAGATGATATGGAAGAACTTTCATAGGATTGTCACATGTGAAAATTAAGACACTTGAGCTGAATGCTAGGTACACAGTAAATGCTTAGTGATAATGTTAGTTTGCTATCACCATTATTGTTAGCAGTATAAACCAGCCCACCTCCTGAACTCCACTTGAATTCCCTCTACACAATCCAGTGCTTATTCAGACACTGTTTGGCTCCCAAGAAGATGGGGAACCACTTTTCCTGACAGCCATTCCATTTTCAGACAGAGCTAATTGTTGGGAAGTTTTTTATGTTGAGCCAAAGTCTGTCTGTCGCTAATGTCTTCCATGGGTAAGGTTGTTAATTTAGCAAATAAAAATACAGGATGCCCACACAATATTTGGGAAACACATACTAAAAATATTATTTGTTGTTTACTAAAATTAAAATTTAACTAAGAGTCTTGTATTTTGTCTGGCTATCCTATCCCTGGGCCTGTATGTGTCTGTTTTCACACTGCTGATAAAGACATGTCTGAGACTGGGCAATTTACAAAGGAATGAGGTTTGTTGGACTTACAGTTCCACGTGACTGGGGAGGCCTCATAATCATGGTGGAAGGTGAAAGGCACATCTCACGTGGCGGCAGACAAGAGAAGAGAGTTTGTGCAGGGAAACTCCCTTTTTAAAAACCATTAGATCTCATGAGATTTATTCAGTATCACGAGAACACCACGGAAAAGACCTGCCCCCATGATTCAATCACTTCCCACTGGGTCCTTCCCACAACACTGGGAATTCAAGATGAGATCTGGGTGGGGACACAGCCAAACCATATGAGGCCCTTAGACTTCTCAGGACAATAAGGAACAAGTCTATTCACATCTTCCACCTGACAGACAGACATCCTCCAACTCCTTCAATCGGCTGTCATACACTAAATGGCCTCCCTGATCCCTCTCATCCTCCATCAACCTGGACTATGTTCCTTGGACTAGTTTGTCAGGCATCTTTTATAGCCCAAAATGATAGCTTGATGAGGACAGAATAAAGCAGGATCATCACCTCCCTTATTCCAAACCATATGCTTCTGTTAATGCATCCTTGGTTTTTATTTTTTAGCAGTTGCATGGCACTGCTGATTCCTAGTGAGCAAGTATTACTATAGAACCAAGTTAAATGTTTATACGTATGTGTGGCTGTCTTCAATGAGACTCAGGATGATGAGAAATAACAAAACCCAGGAACCCTGGTCTCTTGGGTAGAAACAAAAACAAAAACCTTCACACTCTACAACACAGCTCCAGGATACACTTTAACCATGCATCACTATCCTACAAGAACCAGCCTCTGGGATGACCCGGAACTCCATCAGCAGGAAGGCTGGAACTGCTGAAGCTAGAAGACAGCCCACCTGCTTTCCTGGATTGAGGGGCTGCCTTCATGTTAGCATCTGGAGATAACAGGCAGCGAGAGGAGCGGCGGATTTCGGGTGCTGGAAGGGCTTGGGATGCTGGCTGCTGGGAGTTGGTTTCAAGGCTGGACTGCTGTGGTGTGGATTCAGGGCTAGGCTGCTGTGGTGTGGATTCAGGACTAGGCTCCTGTGGTGTGGATTCAGGACTAGGCTGCTGAGAGGTGGAATTGGAGCTAGCATGCTGGGGGGTGGAGTCTCGGTGGCGTTTGGCCTCTGACCTTTTCTTCTTGACCTTCTTCATAGTGGATCCTCCCAACCTAAGCGTGGACCTACATGGAGCTGTGTAATCTCCTGGCTCCCTCCTGGAGGGGCCGTTCGCCCTCTGCCCTAGAGGCCTGACTCTGGCCTCCAACTGGACCCAGGCCCTACAGAGAACAGTGACCCACACCTCCTGTGAGGTCATAAAAGCCAGGGTGGCTCCTATGGTAGGGCCGCAGGGACAGTCTTCTCCACATACACCAGCCTGGCGTTCTCCCTTAGCCCAGGCCCTGGTCCTCACAGACCTGGTGACGCCTGGCCACGGGGCCCATGAGAGCCAGATCCTCATGCTTCTGCGAACAGAGCGCAGCCTTCAGTCACCTCTCTGCTGGCGTGTTCCTGGGTCCATGTGAGCCACCTGTTTTGCTCTAAGATACCCTGGATGTGACGCTCAGCTCTGTCACTGGCTTCCACATACCCCCTATTCCTAGACCTCAAAAATCCATGCTCCCCACGCATTCATCTTCATGTCAGCTTCCTGAAGATTTGGAGCTTCCTCGAAGGCTTTACCTCCCATGGCCCAGAGCCTGCTACCATTTCAGAGTAGCTTCCCCCTTCCCGCAAAGCCTGCCCTCCCCCACTGTGGGAGGGGAGTTTGGGGGTTGATCTGACTTTTATAAGAACCTTTGCATTTGGCAAATAATTTTCCTTGAGAACATAACAGCTGTTCAGAAAACGAACATTTGTCTCAAACTCACGACGATGGCAACCACAGACCATCCCCCAAATCCCAACTGGTTGGGTTAAGCAGGTGACTGAATCTTTCTCTCAATTAATTAATGTGTTCATTAAATGTGATTTTTATTTTAGGATGGAAGAAGGAAAAGTATTTTTAAAAGACAGTCTAAAGCTTACACTGTGACTGCAACATAAAATGTGTTCACCTCAGGAGACACTTCTGTCGCGAGTGCATCTCAGGTGGGTGAGTGTGGGACCGGCAAGTGCAGGAGCTCCTGCCCCAGGGAAGGTTTAGAGCAGACCCGGGCAGGTAAAAAGGGCTTCGGGCCACATGAAGTCAAACCTCAACCTGGTTTAAATCAGTGTTTTTCAACCTCAGCCCTGTTGACATTTTTGGGCTGAGTAATTCTTTGTTGTGGGGGATCATCCTGTGTATTGTAGGAAGTTTATCAGATCCCTGGTCTTTATCCAGTCTTTACTCCCCCCTACCCCAGGACAACCCAAAATGTCTCCAGATACTCCTAAATGTCCCCTAGAGATGGGTGGTGGGGGTGTGTGTGTCAAAATTGCCGCTGGTTGTGCCACGTTGGTGTAAATGAATCAGATAGGAGCAGACACATATAGGTGGAACTTCCTGGTAGCAATGAAAGAAATATTCCATTTTACCAGAAGAAGCCAAACAGGGCACAGAGAATGGGTCTTTGTTTTCCAGTAGAAAGACGGAGGAAGCACAGAGGGCAGGCCTAGGGAGGAGTAGGGAATTTCCCTGTGGCAGCAGTAAAAATATGGTGTGAATTCTTTAGTAAGAGTGGTCCCAAGAAGCAGAGAGAGGGCACCTGTGGAAAGAGGTTGTCCCAGAAGAAAGAGGAAGAATGGCGCCTCAATAGCTCTTTGCTAGAACATCTTCCCTGCACCCGCTCCCTTCTTCTTCTTCTTCTTTTTTTTGTTTTTGTTTTTGTTTTTGTTTTCAGACAGAGTCTCACTCTGTCTCCAGGAGTGCAGTGGCCCAGTTTTGGCTCACTGCAACCTCCACATCCCGGGTTCAACTGATTCTCCTGCCTCAGCCTCCTGAGTAGCTTACAGGCGTGTTCCAGCCTCCTGAGTAGACTACAGACATGCGTCACCATGCCTGGCTAATTTGTATCATTTTAGTAGAGACAGGGTTTGCTCTGTAGGCCAGGCTGGTCTCAAACTCCTGACTTTAAGTGATCTGCCTGCCTTGGCCTCCCTATGTTGGGATTACAGACATGAGCCACTGCGCTTGGCCCCACTGCCTTCTGCTTGAGCACCTGTTCCTAGTCAGGAAACCTGGCTCTTCCATAATACAGTCACAGCCCACTGCCCAGGACTTATCAGCCACCACACTACCTGGGTCCAGCTCTAGCCAACTGTGAACACCAGCGGTCTCATGAACAGGCTGAACATTCCTGCATTTTCAGAAGCCCTTCTCCTCTATCACCCCTCTCTGTACATCTACCAAAACATTTTCTGGTCAAGCCCTATCTCAAGTGGATCCATCTTTTCATAAAGCCTTTCTAAGCTGCACACGGTGGCTCATGCCTGTAATCCCAGCACTTTGAGAAGCTGAGACAGGATCACCTGAGGTCAGGAATTTGAGACCGGCTGGCCAACATGGAGAAATCCTATCTCTACGAAAAATACAAAAACATTAGCCGGGCATGGTGGCACATGCCTGTGGTCTCAGCTACTCAGGAGGCTAAGGCAGGAGGATTGCTTGAACCCGGGAGGTGGAGGTTGCAGTGAGTGGAGATCGTGCCACTGCCCTCCAGCCTGGGCAACAGAGCAAGACTCCATCTAAAAAAAAACCAAAAAACAAAAACTATCTTGAGATCTGCAACTGGAAGCCATCCTTCCCTCGCTGCTGAGCTCCAGGGCACCTCTTTGTATGAGACTGGTCATATTCTGAACGGCATTAGAATTATTTCTGTCTTTGTCTTCCCTCTCATTCCCCAACCCCAGATGGTAGAAACCTCAGAAGGCCATAGTCTAGAGTAGGGGCTCAATGCAAGCTGCAGGAACTGAATGAAGGTGAAGGTAGGAGGGCAGAGAAAGCAGGAAACTGCGATGGGGGCAGGTGGGCATGGGTGGTGGGGGATCAGGCACCTCCAAGGCTTCATCACCAAGGGGTTGCTTTCAAAAATGGACTGGGACTTCTCTGGCCTCAGCTGCGGATCACCGTTGGACTAGTTCACGGGCAAGGGAGTTTCCTAACCAGGTGTGCCAGTCATGTGAAAATGCAGACTAGGTAGGGGAAGGGGATTGGAAATTAGACAGTCAGAATAAGGTCTTGAGGGGGTGAAAATTTCCTCCCAGAAGGTCTCTGATGGTTCTGGTGTCCTGGGCACCCAGAATAAGTGTGTCACCATTTGTCCTGAAGCTGACTTCTCTGAGCTGGATGGCACCCTGGACATCAACCGGCCCTTCACCCTCACCTCACACAGGAGGGACACTGGCCCATAGACAGGATGCCTGCTGTGGTCACCAGCTGGAGGGTGGCAGACCTTGGGTACCTAAGCTTTGGACTCTGCCACACAGAGCACTTCCTCAGTCCCTCCTGCCGCCCCTGGCAGGGTGGAGCTGGCAGGTAGGTACGGGACTTGGAGCTCCCTCAAGAGCTCACTGCCCAGGGACCTTAGACTGGCAAATTAATCTCATGGGCCACAGGCCTGGCTCAGTAACACGAAGGGTCTCAAGGGTTGCGAAGGAGGATCCTGAAGTCAACCAGCTAGCGAGTCTGGTGGAGTTCCACCTGAGAGGGTTGCCATGAGGATCCAGGTGAAAAGTCCTTAGAACAGCGCCTGACTCACAAGAGGCAAGCTTTTAGTGTTACTGTTCTTCCCTGGAGAAGATTCAGAAGCAAGCAAGGGAGAGAACAATGTGGAGAGGAGGGAGTGGGGGCCCCGTTTCTCCAAAATCCCACATCAATACCTTACAAAAGCGTGACCCCACGTCATGGGAACCAATGCCCCAAGTTGTAGGTGGGGCCAGTGACTGGGGGTCGTAACCCTCCGAATTCGAACACGTCTGACGCTGAGATTGTCCCAGTGAGCACACCGGGAGGAACTCTAGCTCCTCCCCACCCAAAACAGTACCCAAAACTCCTAGAGGCGCCAGGAGAGAGGCCGTGATTCCAGGGCTTTGTCGTCTACCCCGCGGGGCGGCAGGGTCGGGGTCCAGGGCTGCCTGTTTGAGCGTTCTCCGCCCCGGGACTCCCCCCTTCCCGCGCCGACCCCTCACCATCGGTCTGCGTCTCCCGATCCACCAGGGAGACCCTGTGCGCTTGGCTGCCGGCGCGCTGGATGTCCAGGGTGCCCTCGGGGCGGCCGGGGCAGAACACGGCCGTGTGCACCTCGACGGCGGGGCTGTGCGGCGCGAGGACTCGGCTGAGCAGGGCCTCCATGCGGCGGCGCGCCTCGGCCGCCTCCTCCTGCCGCGGCTGCACCACGATCCCCACCAGCGCGGCGGGCGGGCGTCGGTCCCGGGCGCGCAGCTGTTGCAGGAGCAGCTGCAGCCGAGGCAGCTGCGTGAGGAGCGCCGGCGCGCGGCACAGCACCAGGAGCAGCTGCGCGCCCGGCTCGTGCGGGTGCTGCGCCGCCTGGCGCCCAGACGCTGTGTCCTCCGCCGCGGAGGCGGGGGTCCCAGGAGGGGCCCCAGGCGCCTCGCGCGGGTCCTCGGCCTTGGGCCCGGAGCACCGCGGCTTCTTGTTGAAGCGCTTGGACTTCGTGGCCGGGCAGTCGTCGCGGTTCATTGAGCTGTCGCCCGAGCGCTTGGGCCGCCGCGCGGTGCAGTTGCTGGCGCTGGTGTGGCCGCTCCTGTCTGCGGCGGACGAGGGCCCCGGGAGCTGATCGGCCTCGGCGTCCACCGGAAAGCTCTGCAGGCTCGGGCCGTCCTCATCCTGCTTCCAGAGCTCGCTGATCAGTAGCACCTGGCCGTGGCCCTCGACAGACTGGGCTGGAGCCTGTGGCTGCGCCTCCGCCTTCCTCTCCTGGGCGGCCCTGCAGGGCTGGGCCCCAGGCCGCTGCTCCATGTCCGGTCCGGCTCCCTCGCCCCTCTGGGCTCGGGCCTCGGTTGGGAGGGAAAAGCTGCCCTTCTCCGGAGCATGTCACAATACCCCTGAGCCCTACCTTTTCCTGTCGTGGCCAAGCACCTCCGCCCCGCTATTCCTTGGAAATCTAATATATAGGAAGTTGCTGTTGGACGCTGGTATAACGCTGGCTGTGTTCAGTTTCTCCATTTTCTACTTCTGTGGTTTCAAAAGGTGCATCCTTTTATACCATGGATGAATCTTCGTCCCTAAGGCTCTAAGTAAGGCGAATTTTTATGCACCCGGGCATTTAAAAAGCAGTGGACCAGATCTCATTGCACCTGCAACTCTTGAGAATCAGCGAAGAAGAGTGGAGGCCTGGGTGGCTGGGCCCCGGCTCGGCCAGTCGGCTCTCTGGGTGATTTGGGCGCCAGAGTCTTGCGCTATTATAGTAGAAATGGGTGCTGTTGCAGGAGATGATTTTGGGTCCCCTTAGTTCCAGGCTTCTGTGGGTCCCAGTGGCCTGTCAAAACTCCAGGAAAGGTCCTCAGGAAAACAAGACAAAAAGCAGAGAACTCCTTTGCTGCCCAGCACACGGGGTGAGCAGAGTGGCATGAGGAGGCAGCACAGAGAGACCCAGGTCACAGGTCACAGACTGGAAACCCAACGGTGGGGAAAGTTGTTCCCTTTTGTTATTTTTCTTAAAATGAGCTTTACCAAGTTACGCTAAATTATTTTTTAAATATAAACATTAAAGACTCTGAAAAGCAGGGTGTCAAACAGAAAACTCTGAGCTAGAATCCCGCTAAAAACTCCAGGATCCTCGGGCGCGGTGGCTCACGCCTATAAGTCCAGCACTTTGGAAGGCGGAGGTGGGAGGATTGCTTGAGGCCAGGAGTTCAAGACCAGTCTAAGCAACATAGTGAAACCCCCGTCTCTACTAAAAATACAAAAATTACTCGGGCGTGGTGGTGCACCTGTAGTCCTAGCTATTCCGGAGGCCGAGGCAGGAGAATTGCTTGAACTGGGGAGACAGAGGTTGCAGTGAGCCAAGATTACAGCCACTGCACTACAGCCTGGGTGACAGAGTGAGACTCTGTCTCAAAAACAAAACAAAACTAAACAAATCTGTTGGAGTGCAGTGGCACGATCTTGGCGCACTGTGAGCTCCACCTCCCAGGTTCAAGTGATCCTCCTGCCTCAGCCTCCCAAGTAGCTGGGACTACAGATGCCTGCCACTCCAGCCTGCTGTGGCAGACTTGGTCTAAAAAAAAAAAAAAGAAAAGAAAAGAAAGGAAAAAGAAAGATGGATACTAGACTTTCATTCAAGATAAATCAGACCTGCCAACTTCACCATACAGGAATTGACCTTTCCACAGGTATACCCTAGTGTGGGAGTCTCAAGATTGAGATTACTAGGTTTCACTTGCGTCCGTGTGAAGAGACCACCAAACAGGCTTTGCGTGAGCAATAAAGCTTTTTAATCACCTGGGTGCAGGCGGGCTGAGTCCGAAAGGAGAGTCAGCCAAGGGAGATAGGGGTGGGGCGGTTTTATAAGATTTGGGTAGGTAGTGGAAAATTACAGTCAAAGGGGTTGTTCTCTGGCTGGCAGGGGTGGGGGTCACAAGGTGCTCAGTGGGTGAGCTTTTGAGCCAGGATGAGCCAGGAAAAGGAATTTCACAAGGTAATGTCATCAGTTAAGTCAGGAACACGCCATGTTCACTTCTTTTGTGATTCTTCAGTTATTTGGGGGCATCTGGATGTATACGTGCAGGTCACAGGGGATATGATGACTTAGCTTGGGCTCAGAGGCCTGACACTAGGGGAGGTAGGAGGCCCTACCTGGGACCTGGGCTTGCTCTTTGCCTTCTATAAACTAGCTTTTATCAAAATGTCCTAAACTGGGGAGTACCAGGAAGGAATAGAGGTTCCAGACTCCCAAGACAGATTTGAGCTACTCTGTCCCTCCTGACTGGGGAAAAGGAGCCCCAGTGTGCATCTTGTTCATTGTCAGTTCAACCTGCAGTTGTTCAGTCACTGAAGAACCCTTGTACTAACTGTCCGACACATTGGACTACCCTTAATCAGCCCCTGGCACACTGAAGCCACAGAACGGGGAGAGGAGCAGAGAGAGGTGGTGGGGCAACAAGTCTCAGTGGGACATCAGGGAAGGGATGATCCAGGTGGTGGGGCTACCAGCCTCAGTGCGACCTCAGGGAGGGCTGGAGTTAAGCCATCCCTAGGGTTCCGTAGGTCCAGCCCTTGTAGGGGCTTTTTTTTGTGTATGGTGGGGTGGGGTGGGGGGAGACACTAAAGGTAACAAGTGGCACTAAAGGCAGAAGCTCTGTCAGCTGGTGTTCAGAATGAATACCAAGACTCCTAGGTGTACACTTGAAATGCCATGATTATATCTAAGTTGATGTAACAAAGAGATCCAGAGATACGTTGGCTTAGAAATATTTATTTCTTCAGATGTCGGTGGTTCTGGGGTGTCAGGGAGACCCTGCCATCCTCAACATGTGGCTTCCTTTTCTTTCTCCAGGGCAGCTGATCCACGATCTTCCACTTCCCAGCCAGCAGGAGGATGGAAAAGCAGAAGGGAGGGAGAGACAACCTCCTTTGCAGAGCGTGACTCGGAAGTTGTACACATCATTTCCAGTCACATTCCATGGACCAGAATTAGCCCTGTGACCAACTCTGGCTGCCAGAAAGTCTCTGCTTGGGCGATCAGGCAGGCAGTTACATCTTTGGGAACATCTCTCACCCCCTGGGAACACCTGGGCAGAAACTGAAGGGCATTTAACACATTCTCCTTTGTGTCTAATAAGAATTGTCCCCATCAGTCAGAGCTCTGTGCTGGGTACATAGGTCATCTTTACACAACCCAGCAATGGAGAGCACACCATTCCCAGACTGCAGATGCAGAAACTGTGGCTCAGAGAGTTAAGCGACTTGTTCAGATTCAGTCAGCTGGTAGGTGGTAGGTCTGGGATTGAGACCCAGGCCTGGCTGGTCCTGCCAGGACACAGTATCACAGCTTTGATTGGGGGCGTCTTTTTGTTTACATGTATTTTTTATGCTCAATGTACATTACTTTTGAAATACACAGAAAAGGGAAAGAAGCCGGAGTCCTGCCTTGTGTAGGAGGAATAAGTTAGAGGTGTACACTGGGATAAATTTCCCTCCCGCCCTGGCCCTGGCCCTGGCCCTGGCCCTGGACCTGCTCCTGGTTCTGGTCCTTGGCCTGGGCGGCGATTCCCGGCGCTGCCTGAGCGTCGCCGGCCACCAGGGGGCGCTGCCGGGCTACCGGTCCGGTCGACCCGGGATCGCAGCCTCAGGGGACAGGAAATGATCAACAGCACCTCCTCTCCGATCCAGGTGGCCTCAAGGAATCTCCGGGGGACAGGACAGGTGCTGAGCCGGGTGCAAAGGTGGAATTCTATCCCCAAAGCACATCCTGCACCTCTTTCCTCTGCAAAGTCCCGGAACCGCGTTACTCCGGATGAGTCCGTGGGGCTGGAACCCAGGGTTCAGCCCCCTGCCCCTCTGTGTGTCCTGGTCCCTTTCCTCCAAATAGACAGGAGGCATCTCCTCATCAGCTCAGTTCACATTCCTCCAGGGCTCAGAGAGAACCCAGTCCCTGTCTCGGGACACCAAGTCAGGGCAGACTGCAGGAGAGAGCAAGGAAGATGATTCCTGCACTCAGGTAGGGAGGGGCTCGCCTCTAAGAAGAGAGAAATGAGGGGTGTACAACGTGAGAGTGGAAATGCTCAGAAATAGTCAATGACCTGGGCAGCTGAGCTTTCGTCCACGCCCTGGCACAGTGTGTGTTGCACAACAGAGGTGTTCAGTGAATGTTTTTCATTCAATCAACAAACATCTCGAGTGCCTCCGTGTGCAGGTCCTGGGCTAGGCTCTGGGGATGAAGTCCCTGCCCCCTGGAGCTTATATGCCGGTAGGAGAGAAAGAGTAAACAAGGTCGGCCACTACTATAACCTCACATAGTGCTGAACTCTAGAGGAAATTAAAGCAAGATAAGGGCTCCCAATCCAGGGCTTATATTCCTCCCACCCCCCACCCCTGGTCCAGCCCGGCAGTGATGCAGGCGGAAGGGGGCAGGGGTGTGGGGGGTGCAGAGGGCAGGGAAGCCACCCCCATCCTCTGGGCACAGCCAACAACCCCCAATTTTATACAGGAGAGGCTTCTTGGGGAAAACGTCATTCCAGGACCCCTCAAAGTGATGGGATCCACTGACTGGAAAGAGAAAAAGTCCAAAAAGGAGGAATTGAAGCCCCTGAGGCACCTTTGGGTAGAAAAAGGCAGGGAAGAGCCTCAGGGTCTCACAGCTTGGAAGCGGGAGGGCAAAGAGGAGGAGATGGAGAACCAGACTCCTCAGAGAATCCCGGAGGGCCTTGAAGGGGCCAGGGGTGGGGAAGTGGGAGGATAATTTTATGCATCAATTTGGCTGGATCATGGTACCCAGATATTTGATCAGCCATTATTCTAGATGTTTCTTGAAAAATATATATATTTTTTGAGATGCAATCTCGTTCTGTCGCCCAAGCTGGAGTGCAGGGGCACGATCTCGACTCACTGCAAGCTCCGCCTCCCAGGTTCACGCCATTCTCCTGCCTCAGCCTCCCCAGCAGCTGGGACTACAGGTGCACGCCGCCACACCCAGCTAATTTTTCGTATTTTTAGTAGAGACAGGGTTTCACCATGTTAGCCAGGATGGTCTCGATCTCCTGACCTCGTGATCCGCCCGCCTTGGCCTCCCAAAGTGCTGGGATTACAGGCATGAGCCACCGCACCCAGCCCTGG